TAGTAGCGTCCTTGCTCCTAGTAGCGATGCCCCTTTGTTCCTTGTAGCTTCTTGTTACTAGTAGTAAGGCCAGGAGCTACGTTCGTAGCGTCCTTGCTCCTAGTAGCTCAGCTCAACGGATTTGTTGGAAAGCATCGGTGAATGGAAAAGGTCATAAACAGTCCAAAAGTTCGGTGGTGATTGAGCTGCTGATTAACAGGATCCAAAAACTTGGGAACAAACTGAAACAAACACACCACTTGAGAGAGGAGGGGGTGAACGAAAGGTAGCAGGCAATCACAAGTATCCCTGGTAGAAGTCCATGACGGCGTCAAAGGTGGATGGACGTGACCCAAACAGCGACGGCGCAGGGGGGATTTGATCCAGGGCCCTCCCGTCGAACAGAATCCAGTCTTACAGGACCAAACTCAATGCAAATCACCAAATCAGGTCCTGATTGTAATACATTTTTGCTAAAGCAAGGAGAACTCAGGTAGCTCAAGCTACCTTTCGTGCTTAAACACACACACACACAAGACGATTGACCTAGGACACTACAAGGTGGTGGCTGCTGGAGTTTGTACAATGATCGACAGTATCAACATATATTAACATTGGCATGGCCCATGGCTGAAAAGCTGCCACGATGCATCTCGCTGCCCACAACGAGCAAGATTCTCTCAAACCATGGAATCTTAACTCACATCCGCCTTGAAGTTGATCAGTCAGTGAATGATTTACAAGAAACACACAGCGCCACATATGCGCCGTGTTGTCCAAGCAAAACATCTGGAAAAGCAAAACATTGGACGTTCTCCAAGCCACAGCCCCAGTTGTCCCTTCGGCCGCGACGGGGTGCCCCCACATGAGAGGCGTCTCGCCGAGAAGGTTCCGAGGATCCACCTGGACCATCGATGCCAAACAGGTCTCATTCGATGTCATTGAGTGCAGTAACAAAAATAACAAACATGTTCCGGATAGTGGTCTAATATGGTCTATATATATAGCTAGTCTATATATATATATATGGGTATCACTGTATCACCTTCTGTTAATCTTGTTCAGGATATTGCCAGGCTGTACAACTCACGAGTCATCCTGTTGTATCCAGAAAAACATAGAAAAACGCATAGAACCGGAAATTGCAATGATCAACACTGAAGAAAATGAAGGGGGACAAAAACTGCTCTACCAGCTTCTTGGGCTTTGGGCCAATTGAGGTAGCACGTCAACATGCAGGCCGCAAAAGACCTTGTTGGACTCAAATGACCTTAGGACCCTAAGATTGTTTCAAAGTTTAGTAGTAGGCTGGTGGGTTGAATTTTGGTTTATGTTTTTGAATAGGACACACCCACTTTGAATGTGGGTAATGGGCTGTCCATCTCAGGCTTCTATATGCTAAATGATGCTAAATGCTTCCATCATGGCGGTCAACGCAGTCGGCACCTGCGCCCGGCACTGCAAGAGCAAGGCCACCGTGGCGAAGACGCGGTCGTTGGGCGCCGTGAGAACCGAGATGTGCCTGAATCCACCAGGTCGACGCCGTTTGGTCCACCATCAAGGGATGGTTTTGTACCTGAAATTTGTCTCAGTGTCTGGCAGCAAAGTCATTCCATCTTCATCTTGCAAAGCCCATGCTGCAGATGTATCAGGTAAGGCCTCCCAACCAGGAAGGTCAACTATATACATGCACAGCAGCAACACTCAAACTCCGAAACGGCAGGTTGAGAAACGACCATGCACAACATCCACTTGGTGGGGCAGGATCATCGCTCGTACACAAAGGCTCTCAATCGTGCTTGAACATCCGAAGCTCAGCAACTCACTGGATTTGGGTTGTGATGACTGTCCTGGGTTGTGTGAATTTTAAGTCTTAGATTTCACAACCCACACAACCAATTGGTCTTAGATTTCTCTAGCCTTTCAGCAATTAATTTCAAGTCCAATACCTCGTTAAAGTGGTCCGATGTCTAACACGAGCACGGAAGATGCTGGAAGCTGACTGCAGACCGTTTCTTACCCCTGCATGATAGATATGTTATGATATGTTAGTTGCTGTTCACGACTTTTTTTTCCCAATCATACTTTTGTCTAATACACCGCCCCCGTCTTTGGCAACACACCAAGACACCTTACACGGCTCCGCACCTTGAGAAGCTTCCGCACCGCCGGCGGCTCCGAGCGCCGCACGCAGCGCCACAGCTCCGCGAGCTCCGAGACGGGCGCAAGGCCCGCAGCGTCACCGTGCAAAACGGGGTGCACGGGCGACGTGACATGGTGATCCTGAACGGGATCGGAAAGGGTATGAAAGGATTCGGATATGAAAAGGGGTTTTGAAGGGTTGCTTTTCACTGGGTTCTCCTGCAATTGATCATCGACGCATTGGACATGGTGGTTGATCTTCTCGTCGACACTAGAGAAGATGGGAGCGGAGGAATGCGGTATATTACCTTCATCATGAAGCTACGACGATGCTCTCCCAACATGGAACCGGATGTCAATGAGGACCTCTACTAAAGACCAATATATATGGCTTTTCAATGCTTTTCACTCCTACAGGTTCGGGAGAGATGTCGAGATGGCTCTGCCCTTGGCCTCTTCAACCTCGGTCTTGGAGGGTGGCTCCGAGTCCTGGACATGAAGGGCCAACATAAAGCTCCAGTGCTTAAGTGAGTCGCGAAGCCTCTGAAAGATCCTCCAGAAATTCACGATATTCTGTTACAGGGCTATAACACTGGCCAAGGTCTTTTCTGCAAAGTCCTGCATGTGCCCATCTTCCCGAAGTGCTTCTGTCGGAGGTGTCGAGGCGTCCTGTCAGACGTGCTCCGTGCATTCTGGTGAACCGAGTCTTCGGAGCCGTGCGCCGTCCGCTGAGCCGCAGGACTCGGCGCCTGCGGACGTAAGAGGTTGGACAGCAAGGACTTCCTGCAGCGAGGACAGCCGGACAGCAGATATCTGTCGGAGACTGTGTCAGCTGCTTGGGAAGTGGATCTCTTCATCGGGACCACTCGCGAAGAACATCGAATCTAACAAAATGATGCTAAGCTTGCACAACAAGATGACCTTAGCAATGATGTTCACTTTCAACGTGCATGACACTTCGCACCTGACCTCCTCAGCCGCAACAACTACTGAGGACGAGACTTTTCTGGGTTTGCAACATCCAGAAAGTCAGCTGCTCGCATCCCACCACGCGTGGTCCTGGTGCTCATGTTCGGATCTCGCCGGGTGGAATTCTTCATGCATGTTACGCCAAACAAAACCTTCGAACAAGCCTTCCCCCCGGCTTTGGCCTTTCGAGCACAATAGCACTCGGCCGTAATTAGTGGCAACAAACAAATGCCATTCAAGATTAAACATTGTAGGATGAGAGTCCTAGATTCATCAAGAACTCTCCACCCAAACTCTTTTTGCTTTTGTGCTGTGCTGCTTTGTCATCCTTCATCGCGTATCCGCCGAATGTCTTCCCCCAACATCTGCTCCCCAGAGACAGGGCAATGTCCAAATTCTTGCACATGAGGAACCAGGCATGTGTAGCAAAAGGCATACCCAGCACATGACATTGCTGGATTTTGCCGAATCCTGTGGCAAAGTGCACAAATCCTTGGGTCCTCGGGCAAGACCACCAATCGAAAGCGGGCTCCCTCTAAGCGACCCTCAGGGTAGGGGAAGCGCATCGGTGGCGGTGGTGGCGCCTTCTTGGGGCGGGTTGGTTGCAACAAGTGCTCTCGTTGATACCACCATTGCAGAAACTGCAGAACATACACAGTCCCCCAAAGAGCTGCCTGGCAGGCTCATGAGATGGTCTGACTACTGCGACTTTTTGAATCAACCAAAATGACAGAAAACGCCGAGAAAGCAATACTCACAGCCACATGCTATCCCCATAAAATGAATGTGACACGAAAACTCACAGCATTCCAGTTCTGATCTGTGTCCGGGTCTATCTCAAGACAGGAGACTCCAAAGACCCCTAACTACGTGATCCTAAGCATTTATACACATGAATTGAACATCACATTATACAAATCTACATGAGGGGAAAACACCAGAAAATGAAATAGTAGCTTGCGGGAGTTCTTGCCCAACTCGGACCTGTCCGCAAATCTTGAAGACGTCTTGGATGCGCATGCTGCTATCTTCTGACGGAGGATCTGGAAAGTGTCGTGCCAGCTTGAGATTCAGCGCTTGAAGCCAAGGTGACCAGATATCAGTCTGTTCGAACAAGTATAGCAATCGATAAGTGAGACTCACCAGGGATTCCAAAGCATGCACTGCAGGATACAAGCGATAGAACAGCAACTCCCTTGAACTTCTTGGCTGCGTTGACGCTTCCACTTGTCGAAATCGGTCTTTGCACTTTTTGGAAAGCCAAGGCAACACAACCACGACAAACAACGACGTCCATTGCTGTCTTCGAGTCAATGGTGGTGCTTGCGATCTTTCACGAGCTCGCTCAAAAGCTTCAAGCGGCAGCAATCGTGCACTGGCAGTTTCTTGTCTGCGCAAGCCGAAGAAATGTTCCGCAAAGGTTGCACCATGGACCCTCAAGTGATATCCTTCCAGTAGGAGCAAAAGCAGGCTGTAGATTGATTCCCATGAATCCAGAATCACTCGAAAAAATGTTGTTCTCTCCCTCCAAATGTCGACAATAAATCGTACCGCCGGCCGAAACACCTCGTTAAGCTGCTCCTGTGCGATGAGCTCGAAAAAGGTCGGCCTGAAAATATCCTTACCCGCATACACACTCGTGAGGAAGCCTTCATATGCGGCCATGAAGAAGCTCTCTTCTACACATCAACAGCTATCAACTGTTTATTACTTATGTTCCACCGACGACTCTTTGTCGACTCCGTCCATGGCCTAATAGGGTGAGACGATTTTTTCAAACAACAATCATAAACAACCATTGTATCCATCTGTCAAACGTTCATTTCAAAACATCTGACAAGTGGATTTGATTGATGAACTGATGAAGGTTCCGATGAAGTCACTTGCCCTGATTCTGTTCAATGATTTGGTGATCCAGTGATACTGTACATGATTGACCATGGTAAGCTGTAGGGTTGAGATTTAAGAATTGAGCCAACGGCTGCAAGGTGCCAAGTTGAAAGAACACACAACTCTCATATTCATACCATGACAAATGTCTTTGTTAGGAGTTTGAGTTTGAGTAGCAAGTCTATGGCCCGCAATGGTTTGAGTATTTTCATTGTACAGTGTACAGTAATCTGTAGAGTGATGTGACGTCTGTTGGGCAATTATGTTGTTTGGTTTTACTTCTTTTGGATACGCTGTTTGCTTGATATGTGTATGCCTTCATCTCTCTCTATATATATATATATCAAAAACAACACTGTATATATGTGTGCAAATTAAAATACGTCTTTATTCGAAACAACACTGTATATATGTGTGCAATTAAAAACTTCTTTACGAGGCTGCAGCATTACATTTGGAGCTGTACTTGAACATCACAGTAAACTGTCTTGTCCAGTGCGGATAGCATTGACATGTTCAGGCACCCTTTGGCTTGACGCTACTCCTATATTTCACGAGGTGACCCACATCAACAAACAAAAACGTTTGCTCAAGTGTTCGCGACAGCTCTTTATTTGGTCATTTCTCCCCCCTACAAATCCTTGGACATGTCTCTTCTGGGCCATGCTTCTCGCTGCTTGCTTCATTGTTGCTTGAAATTGCAAATGACAGCTGTGCTGCATCTCAAAGGGCAGTGATCCACAGCGTCCACTTCTCATCTGAGCACTCATGACCCAAAGAATCAACTCATTAGCTCACGCTTCTTCGAAGCTTCCCCTGCCCTCAAGCAGGGTAAGCTTGGAAGAAGCGTGAGCTATCCGTCCTGTTCCTAAGAGCTTCCTATTGCTAGTAATTACAATTCTACTAGTAACAAGTGCCTTACTAGTAGTAACAAGTGCCTTACTAGTAGTAACAAAAAGCTATTAAATAGCTTTTTGTTACTACTAGTAAGGCACTTGTTACTAGTAGCTTCCTACCCCCCCTAAGTGGGCGCCTACTCAATTGTATAAGGAGGTAGGACCACGGCGGCCACGGGCTTAAAACATGCTATTGTTTGGGTGCGCTGAAACCCACCCGGGACTCTCCACCGTCCCTGGATCGCTCCTGGCCACATCTGCACGAAACTCCAAAAGCAGCTGCACGGCCTCGACCGCGCTGCCGCACACGGCCTCCAGGGCGACCGTGGTGAAGCTGGTGAAGCGGACCGACCAGAGGAAGCAGGAAAATCCTGTCGATTTATGTAGCTTATAGCTTCCAGCAAATCAAGGAAGAATACCGAGATCTAACAAACGTAGGTTGGGTAGGAAGGTGCAGGCCTCCTTTTCGAGGGCCTTATGAAAGGAAGCTTTACCTTGGTTCTTTTCTTCTCTGTATTGATCCACTAGATCCTCGATAGCAGTATACCCAATTTGGGATTGGAAGTTGCAGTGCAAGTGTCGATACTCAATGACTTGACTTCTCCTATTGGAAGGAATCATCGTTTCGTTTTCCTTGCTCATGTAGCGCTTCCAAACTGTGGCATTTCTAGCCGCCTCCATGAGTGGAGTCTCATCCATGGGCTTGTCTGCAGCATTTGGATTTGCATTGGCTTCGAGCAGCACACGGACAGCTCCTGGCAACACAAGGCACTAGCAAAAAACAAGGAATATCCAAAATGTGTCCAAAGAGCATGAATAATTAGCCTGGATCATCCCGGATAAGCTATGAAGTGAACTGAAGCTGACCAAGTAGCACCATGTGCGGGGGGCATGGTGCATCTAGTAGAAGTTGAGAACTGCACAACAAATGCTGAGGACCCAACCCAAATCAACGGCATTCCCCTTTGCCTCATCGGCACAGAGAACTTGCATTTCTGCCAATCGCTGATTGCAGTCTTCGTGCACTCAGCAAGAACCGCTCGAATCTGATCTATCCATGTCCACCGGGGTGAACCTTCACGATTTGACATGGACGTTGGAACAACATGTTGCTGGGTTCTTTCACCTGTGAGTGGAAGCATCCTCCATGATCTATGCTCCTATTCCAATTCGAACGGGGAAACCCTTCTGGCCTCTGTCAAGGCAGCCCGCAATGTCAAGCTCAAGGCAGTTTCACCAATCTTGTTTGTGGAGTCAATGCCTGACAAGCATTTTTCCAGGGTGGTACGGAATTTACCATGTCGGGTGTAACATCCTGCAAAAGACAAAGGCAACATGTGCCAGCGTGGTCCCTTGTTCCTCTTAAGTACTGGGGGGCATCCTGACTTTGGGGATACTTTATCAGACCATTCATAGCTTGAGGATGACTGGTTTACCAATTTCCTCAGCAGTCGACCCAAGTACAGGCAATGTCTAAAAGCTATCTCTGCCAAACACCAATTGCCAATGTGTGTTCTGAATCTCTTGATGTTTTATGGATATAGTCTGTATGGGTGATTGGTCCTAGATGTTTGTGTCCCAACCGACCCTCTTTGGGATTCCATTGGATTCTGATATATTCTGATATAATAAGGCACATATGGCACATGGCTTCCAATAGGTTCCGATGGTCTCCAACCTGAAACTGGCGGATTCGGCTGGTGCCAGCCAGGCCTCCTGCGCTGCTCATCCTTCTCTTCACCTGCTGTTGCCCAGCGTGAACGACAAAACTTCAAATGTACAAGGCCAGAATCAAATCCCAAATGGATTCAGGCTTTACTCAGTTGTGCAGTCTGTCTCACTGGAGCCATTGCATAGATCGACATCCTGTAGTGGGATTCCTTCATCCAATGGGCAAGTCGTTCTTCGAGCAGTTCCGAATCAGCACCTCTTTGGTCAAACGCCGCACAATGGCCTGGTAGGCATAGCGTTCACAACCATCGGCAGGAGTCTGGAGTTATTTTGGATCAGTGGGTTTCTTAGGACGCAGGGTCTTCAGTTCCAAATAGCACGCAATACACAGCCGGCCATACAGTAACATTCCGCCTTGGGCAAACATTGAAAAAATGCATCCTACCATCGAATGTGTGAAGCGGAAACAGCCCCTGAACCCCAAAACCGATGGCCATGGTTTTTGTTTGATGCCAATGAGTTCGGATTTTGCATGGAGCTTTGCTTGATCCTCTCATCCTCGAGTCTTTGGAGTTCCCAGAAATCGTTTGTCCCCTGCCTCTCGCTTGGCTTTGGGCGGTAAAAGGTGTAACAAGGATTGCCTGGCTCCGATCACGGCTCGGGACCCAAACTGCACGGATGGCTGTGGTGATGGTCGGTTGCACAAAATAGATGAAAGAGTAGCTTGGGATGTATGTACAGAAGAGCAGGGAGCAAATGTGACTAGTAGTCCCCCAAATGGACTTCAACTACACCACCCTTCTGCAGAAAAAAAAGAGAAACATGTTGGCAAGTAGTGAAGCTTGATGCCAAGATAAAGGAACATTCATTGACATGTACTGCAAGTAAGCAATTGTATGCCTATTGTATATAAACCTGACGTGGTGCCAATGTGGGCTTGCATGTGTGAACAAAATAGAGTCACCTTCCAGCTTCGAATTTGACATTGACGCACTTTTTCTGCATCCTGATTCAGTCTAACGGCTACACCGCAAACACACAAATTGCAGTGGATGCACGCACATCCTTCTCTGAGACACGACTTCTGGTCTTTCTATTGTTTAATGTTTCAGGATTGCTAAAGCCATTTTGCTTGGCCTTGGGTGATGTGGTTGAAGTGACAGAAGGTATCTCATGATTGATGACGCCTGTGACAGTGAGACGAGACTTCCATCCTTCAGGAGGAAGGCAAAGGTGCGCAGCGAGACTTTCACAGCTCGCTGCAAGTCAGAAGCATCCAGAAAAAGTAGGTTTACTTGAGACTTTCTTCGGTACCCTGACAAAAAATAAGTAGCTTCCCTGATCTCTCTGCACACGTCAAAAGCTGAGACTTGTCATTGGTTCATACTCAGATAGAACCTGTGCGTTTTTTGTGCCAAGCTATAGTAGATATATGTTAAACAAATAAACAAAAAACATGTAGAAACATCGAGCTCATCACTAGCTTGACATGTTATAGCCGTTGTCATTCTCGTGTTGATTCATACGCTGTCATTATTGCTATGATGAATCATGATTGATTATTCATGATTGATTTATATGACACATGTTGTAACCCGTCCGTCTCTACCCCACCTCACCGCATGTTATGCAACCAACACACGACTATCAAGCCACTTCGCCAGTGGCTCATTTGATTTCCAGAAATGCTACGGGTCTTGATGGTGAGCCACTTGATCTGACATAGTATGTTGTAGGCCGATCGAAACTCCTTCACTTCTGTAAAATGCTCCTGAAAACTGCACCGGCACTGGGTGCAACACTTGCTTTGCGGTTCCCTCGTTCTTTTTGCACATTGCATCACAGGAAAGAAGCACATCTTTCATGCCGTCTGTGGGCACGTGTCCCCTTTCGCGTGCGCACGCGCATGAGGCCGCTAGCGCAATGTCAGCCACACGAGCGACTAGACGATCCGCAGGATCCGCAGGTAAAAGGCCCCCCCAGTTCTCAGAGTGTCATGGATCTTCTTTGTGCTTTTGTTGTGTCGTAAGATGTCGTAAACGTCTAATATATAGTCTAATGGATCAGGAAGCACCTCGGATCGTCGTTTGACATGATAATCATCGTTCCTGTGGTGGGGTTTATATAATATCATATAATATCGGTTTCCAAGGTTTCTCTTCAAACCCTAGTTAAGCAGTTAAGCAGCATGCCTTTTACATGGATTTG